TAGCAGATCTACACTCGTTGCTGATTCTTGTTTCCGCCGCCGCCACCGAAGACGCCGCCATCCTCTTCTCCACATCCTCCGACTCCCCAGCGGAATCCACCACTCCTTGCGGCCTCTCCCTTCTCGCGCAGCCTCCACCCACCAGCAGGCAGCAGCAGCTTCGCCAGCGGTGACCTCTTCTTCTCTTCTCACCCGCGAACAAAACCCAAAAGAAATAACACAGATCAAAAACAAAAACCAAAATCAAACCCTCAAAATTCGACATGCAAGTGAGAGAACTTGATCTCACCTTCTTCTACCGTCGCCTACCGTTCGTCATAATAATCACCCCCAGTTTCATCCGTCGCCGCCGCCGCAGCTTCATCCGTCGCCGCCGCCGCCTCATCCTTCGCCGCCGCCGATTCTGGGTAAGACGAGGGAGAGCGAGAAAGAGCAGAGAGAGAGGGAGAGAGAGAGAGGCCGAGTTCCTCTGGAAAGGAAGAAGAAGAAGAGAGAGAGAGTAGGGAGGAGGCGGGTTTCTCTGGAAAGGAAGAAGAAGAAGAGAGAGAGAGTAGGGAGAGAGGCGGATGTCTCTAGAAAGTGGAAAGGAAAGAAGAATCGAGAAGTGAGATTGGGTTAGGAGTGAGTGGTGCATAAATTTTGTTTTTTTAATTTTTTTTTTAGAAAAGGTTGTTTTCCGGTTGGCCGGCTAACCGAGCCTAAAACCGAAACCAACCGGTCGGTTGGCCGGCTAACCGTGACCAATCTCCCGGTCGGTGGTCGGTAGCTAGAGGGGATGGCTCGGTTTAACCGATAACCGGGTTTTCAGTTAAACCGAAACCGACCGACTGCCACCCCTATTCGGTAATACCAAATAGTGATAAATTCGGTACGGTATTCGGTATATCCCAAATACTGGTACCAAACTTCAAGCCCTATTTCTAGGAATCATTCCTGGAAGCCATCCATGCTTGTGGTAACAGGTAGGAATGGCAATTTTACCCATACCCGTGGGTATTTTACTATCCAACCCAATTGGGTTGGGTATGAAATCCAAATAGATGGATATGGGTAGAGCTTGATGGTTTGTACCCATACCCATTTACTTGGGTTGGGTTGGGTTTTTAACAAATGGATTTGGGTTTGTACCCATGCCCAAATGCAAATTACAGTTTGGTACCTAAAATTAATAGATATACATATTTAGTACCTAAATTTTATTTTGTTTCATATAAGTCCCCAAAATATTGATGGAAAACACATTTTGGTACCTAAATTTTTTTTTATCTTACATTTTGGTACCTAAAATTTTCAAGTTTTACAAATAGGTCCAATTTCGATATGTGTAATTAAAACACACTCAAGTAAATGGTATCCATATCCAACCCATACCCATTTAGATTATGGAAGCAATATCCATACTCATACCCAACCCCCAAACCCATATGCACTTCACCCATACCCAACCCATTATCAATGGGTCTACTTGGATTTGGGTATAATAACCCATGAGTGGGTAATTGCAATCCCTAGTAACAGGTCTCCTTTGTATGACCTTGCATTTTTCAAAAGGTGCAAAATGGTCTTAAGTTTCCAAACCTTCCTCTACCTCTACCCCTGCCTCTCACGTTTCCAGCAGGGTTCCATTCATTTCTAGGCTAGTCTGGAACTCTCATGCCCAGAGATTGCAGAGCCATAACCAAGGATTCCACCATTTTCTCTTTCTTCTGATGGCTTCCTGCAAACTGTCTCTCATGTTGTGCCATTTTATAGAAGATTTGATCCATAGATGATAATGGTTCTATGAATAGAACTTGAGATATGAGAATTGAGTAATTTTCATTCAACCCTCTCAAAAAATGCACAATCAAATTAGTTTCCTCATGAATCTTGACTGTGTTTATGGCTTGGTAGTCTGCGTGACTAGTAGGTGTGCGGGAACATAAGGGGATAGATTGATAGTTTTTCAATTCTTCCCAGATTGTGATCAAATCAGTATGGTATTCTGATAATGTTCTACTGCCTTGTTTCAGGGTACACAGTTGTTCTTTCAATTCCACAATCCTAATCAAGTCTCCTTAAGCATATATTAGTTTTAGCGTTTTCCATACCGCAGCTGCAGTCTGAATGCTTCGCACACTCTTTCCAATGACCTCATCAACGAACTGTAAGATCCAGCTCTTGACCATAATATTGCAGCTTGTCCAAGGCCAAGCCATTGCATCTCCCGCTTCTGGCTTGGGGATGCTTCCATCTATGAAGCCCAGCTTGTTCTTTGAGGCAAGTGCGTCGATCATGGCGGTACTCCAATAGCAAGACAGTTGGTAGTTGTGAGGGGTGAGCTTTTGAGGAACCAGAATCTGCCCTGGCTGCTCAGACCCATGAAGGTAGTAGGGATCTGAGAGCGAATACCAGTAGCAAGACAGTTGGTGGTTGTGGATGCAGAAGGATCGATGACAGTGCTAGTGGCGTTGTTCGTAGCTCGTGCAACCATTGTTGGCTAAACTCAACAAATACGAAAGCGGCGAAAAAGAAAGAAGAAGAAGAGAAGGTGGACGAGCAAGGTAAGGGTACAAAACCCTAACAAGGCTTTGATACCATAACAACATTTTGGCCAAAATAGGGTTTTGGGATTTTACTTACCCTTTTCCCTTCTTCTCATTCATATATATAGTCTGATTACAACCGAGACAACCAACTGTGTTGGTAAAGTAAAGCAGTGAAAATAGAGAAAACAGAGAAGACAATCAAACAATGAAAAAGGTCTCTTTAGGCCGTTAGAAATGAAGCTTTCTCATTGGTAGAAGAATGTCCTATCTCCATTCTACACGTGGCTACGGATTCATCATGCTGCGTTGCTGAACGACGATGTCTCGGTAAGTAGGTATGAAAGAAGACAAACCTGTGCTTTCTTCTTCTCTTGCTGTTAACAAGGAAGCCGAGATGTACTCGGACAAGAACTCGTGGGCTGGACAGCCACGTTGACATCAGACGGGCCACCACAACTCTTCTGTCATAATACTGATCCACGAAACTGTATATTCCGTCTGATCTATCTATAGCTACTACTCTAGCAGCCCGAGGTCGCTCGTCGACTGAAATCAGCCGTTAAGGGTTCGATTTGGTTTTTGACCGTCGCTCCGAAAACAGCGCAGCAAAGTTTTTTCTCCCGAATATCGATGCATATACTACATTGAATTACTCAGAAAAAAATCCTTACTAGTTTTAGGTTTAGCCTTTACAGCCTGTTTGGATAGAATTCCAAAGGAAGTGGAAATGAAATTTCATTTCCATTTCTAATATTTTTGGAATTCCAATTCAAATTCTTGTGTTTGATATAATTCTATCAAGTTATATTTATTTTCTGCAAATTATATTTATAAGTAAAAGTTATGAGTTGTGGGTCCCATAAAGTTCCTGCTTGAGAGAGAAAAGAAACGGAATTGCAAACTTTTTGGGACTTATACATCATTAAAGTAGTGGGTCCCATAAATTCATATGCTTATGTGGAAAATTCCGAGGATTTTTCCAATAATAGCACCTATTAACATTTTTTTACAAAAATAGCATCCAACCCACAACATTTACAAAAATAGCACCATTTTTATCAAACCGCACCTCCAAGGTGCGTTTTATAACTTAACCGCACCCTCCAGGGAACCGCGCCTCCAAGGTGCGGTCTGTGTGTGGTGGGCAGCGGCCTTGGAGACCGCAGGATCGCGTGGCGATCTAGCGGGCAGAACACACACCACGTCAGCGATCCGCGCCGTGGATCGCAGAACGCAGCGTGAAGGAGCGGTCAGCGCAGCGTGGATCGCAGAACGCATCGTGAAAGCCGGTTCTTACTTATGAACCATAGATATCTCCCGTGCTTTGTTGATGTGAGATTTGCCTAAAGTGTTACAGACCAACACACCATGCTCCACTCTTTAAAATCCAGCTGATGGCCATTCTCCGCTACTGTTGCTACCATTCCATGCAGGAAGACGTTCCTCTCATTTTAAATAAAGCCGCAACATTTGAAGTTCTCCACAATTGACTAGCCCATGCACATTTGTAAAACAGATGTTGTTGGGTTTCCCGTGATTGTAGAAGGGACACGAGTCCCCCTAGTTTGGCCACATGAGTTTGGGTTCAATCTTCATTTCCAACCAAAAGGGAAAAAATAAAATTAGAAAACACTAAAGTTAATTAAACTCACAGTCGAACCAAAACTCATGAACAGTATCGGGTTCAACTCGCTTTGACCAGGTTTAACCATGATTTTTAATAAATTCATACCTAACCCAACATGATTAAAAACTCGGCTAATTTTGTTAATAGTGTTGACGAGTTTTTGATTACATTTACTCGCTTTTGTGATTGGTGTGTTGGGTTGGGTGTGGATTTTGTTAAAATTCGGCCCTCTTTCTATCTTACGGGCACCCGAAAAACAAAACAATGTCATATTAATGTACGACTATCCCACATAATTAGACACGAATAGAGTGGCTTTAACCTGGTTTTGACGAGTTATGTGCCAGGAGTGAGTTTTACCGGCTATTGTAATTGACGGGTTGGGTCAGGTGTGGAATTTTTAAAACTCGACCCGCTTCCATCCTGCCTGCAACCAAACAAAAAAAAAAACAACGGCTTGAACCTAGTCCATAATAGGCGAATTGGGTCGGGTGTAAATTTTGTCAAAAGACGATCCGCTTTCCATATGACTTGCACTGAAAAAAACAATGTCAAATCCCAGTATAACAGTGTTTAAAGTATAATTTGATAAATCGATAATGTCAATCCACATAACCTTAACTATCAATTTATGATCCAAAGTTACTAAATTTTGTGTGATGGACTTTTGTTCTAGTATGTAACTAAGACAACATTTACAAATTATGGCAATAGTTAACCTTGTTGTACAATAAACTAGCTTTCGCAAGTATGATGTTAGATAAAAAGATTAATGGTTCGATGATGAGCAACCCTTAACGCTTATAATTAAAGTACTTGCTCAAGCATTTCATCTCTAATTTTTTTTAGATAAGTAACAAAATAATCTGATCCATTACAAAAGTGTCAAACGGCAACATAATTGGTTTGTTGCTCGAGTATCCAAACTCGTCTTCAGACATCCTCAGTATCTCTAGAACCATTTCACTTTTCAAAAATTTCAATGGTATCATATAACGGCTTTGATCCACCGTGTAGACCACGAAATGACCCCTTCTATCGTTCGAAGAAAATGATCCATCCACCGGAGAAGAAGGAGAAGCAATCGACCCCATTCTTCTTAATGAAGTAATCTTCCTCCACTTTCTCACGATTGACGTCACGAGTGTTTTTGGAAGAGCCATGATGATGACAACGCCCAGAATTCGAACTCCTGTGAAATTATACGACTCTTGATGATGGATGAGAGAAATGATGACCAGTGTTGCCAAGGTTTCGTGAGATGAATCAATAGGAAGGCAATATGGGTTAGCTTTTATAGATAGTAATTAAAGAGGACACACGTACTAAACTAAGGATGCCTGCTTCTTAAGCAACCTTCGATGGCCTTTGTCGTTTGCAAGGGAAATATTAGGCATTTTAAACGCTAATTAGATAATTTTGTTTAGATTTCGTATTTTTTCATATAAAGTTTGGAACAGAAGCACGGTGACTGTAATTCCGAGATCATATGGATAGTAACGATGTTGTTAGTTATTAGAAGTTAGAACCACCTCTCATACTTAAGTTGTCACGTCGAAAGCAAAACATTCTTTCACCGGCCGGTTGGTATTTACGGGAATCCCACAAGTACAAGTCCGTTAACTAGTGCAAAACACATCTACTTTGGAACAAGAAAAAGTCTCACTAGGGATTTCCATATAAACGATTTTCCAGTGTGGAAATGTGGAATCGGGGATCCTTAGTTTAGCACAATTGATGTGGATTTGTTGGGTAATGGATTTAATTCATAAGGGGAAAATAGCTACTCTGCCGAATTTATTTTAATTTACTTTGTTATAATGGATCAAAATTGGTCATACAGATTTGGGCGGTCAATAAAATGGTTACAAATGTTATAAACATAATATAAAATTAAATATGTATCACGATATAACAAAATAAATATTTTATGTTTTTTCATCCGTAACTAGCATAAGTTTGCTCGCTATCGCTACACATGTTAGCGAGAAGATAATCTTTTAAACAATTATATTTTTTTTACAACAAACATCATTCATTTCATTCCAAACCCAAACAAGTGGGAAGAATTACAATTACGATAATGGAGCAACAAGGTCGGCAATGGCAGTCCATTCCGGAGGGAGAAGATCAAGACGAGAATTCTTTGCGATCTAATCAGCCAACACATTTTAAACAATAGTAGTGAAAGGGTAGTTTGTTGTTTGGGATGACAATAATGGAATGAGAATTTGAAATTGTTATGAATATTTGTAATTTTAAATTGTTGAAATACCAGGAAGACGAAATTATCAATATGCCAAATATTCGGGAGTAGCCGTGGGAAACATTTTAGGAGGACAATTTAGGATTTCACCAATAGTGTTTCGAGATGGTTGTGAATTGGTGGGAAATGCGAGGATTGGACAAAGCAGATCTTGTATGGATCTTTGGTAGCGGTCGTGACTAATGGTTGAGGGTGATAATAACTTATGTTTTGGCCGACAATGCTTCGAAATGGGTTGCGAATTGGTTGGTGAATCAGCAAAAAATAGATGAAAACTCAGTGGATGATAGTTGTTACGAAGTAACCATTGAAGAATAGCTAAAAACCTAATAAATAATAACTGCGATGGAAATCCCAGAAGACAATAAATGTAGATCCAACGGATAATAGATGAACATAGAGGTTCTGAATGGGGGAGTGGGCTAAAATAATGTCTTCCAAAATTTTAAAGTTTAGGAAAAGCTTGTGTTGGTGAAGAAAGCAAATCACATAAAAGGTTGCCCCAATTGCATTTGGAGAAGTTTTTGAGGTGCATATTTTGGGCCAAATTCCCAAAATACACATGTTTTTTTAAAAAAATTCCCAAAATACACACGGTTTATGAAAAATTCTCAATCTACACATGTTTGGGCATCACTGCGGCTGTCAACAGCAGTGAATGCTTTCACTCCGGCAGACGAAAGCGGTGAATGCATCACCGCGGTTGTCGGCCGCGGTGAAGGCCTGACCCAAAGCTGAAACTTCAAACGAACGTAACTTTGCGCTCGGTTATCCGATTGTAGCAAATTGTTTTGATTCAACATAATTTTTCAAGATCTTTCAATCTGCAACTCGATTTCATCCCAAAAAAATGTCGTTTGCTACCCCGAACGAGCAATTTTTCGATTTTGACAGACTTTGAAAGACCATAACTTTGTGCTCCGCAATCCGAATGTCATGAAATTATGCATAACTTCTTAAGGACTACAACTTTAACAAGGAAAGAATTTTCAAAACAAGAAATATTTTTGGGTGTACAGGATTTTGGGTATAACTCTACCTTTACTTTTCACAAATCCACATACATTCCAAAATTATGGTTATGATAAGTAGTCCTCAAAAAGTTTTGCTTAATAAAAAAACGTTTAATGACATTAGGATTGCGAAGCACAAAGTTATGGTCTTTCAAAGTTTGTCGAAATCGAAAAATTGCTCGTTCGAGGTACCAAGCGACATTTTTTGGGATCAAGGTGACTTTCATATTGAAAGATGTTAAAAATTTATGTGGAATAAAAAAAAAATTCGCTGCAATCGGATAATCGAGCACAAAATTACGTTCATTTGAAGTTTCCGCTTTGGGTCACGTCTTCACTGCGGCCAACAACCGTGGTGATTATAGGTGTCAATCGGGCGGGTTCGGGCGGGTTCGGGTCGGGTTCAGTCGGGTTTCGGGTTAATCGGGTTGCGGGTCAAGGGTGTTCGGGTTGATCGGGTTGCGGGTTGATCGGGTTCGGGTTGATCGGGTTGCGGGTCGATCGGGTTGCGGGTTGATCGGGTTCGGGTTGATCGGGTTGCGGGTCGATCGGGTTACGGGTTGATCGGGTTGCGGATCAATCGGGTTCGGGTTGATTGGATTGCGGGTTACAACAGGTCGGGTTGCGGGTTGTTCGGTCCAAACCATCGAGTTTTTTTAATAATTAGTTACTACACTAATTTAAAACAAACTCATCGATCACCATATTGCAATGAAAAAAAACAAGAAGATACATTATTAAACAAATGAGTGACTAGATGTTGCTTCAATATATCATAAACAAGTTTGATGTTGCAAAGGATTCATGAAGGTTACAAAACCAACATAAGAAATTGAAAAGCTGACAACTTGCTTGATCATAAACCAATGAAACAATCTCTTGAGTCTTGATAGTTGAGACCATTAAATGATGTTTAAGCAAATACAATAGAATGAAATACAGAAAAATACATAAGGCTCCATTAATCTTGAAGATTTCTCTTACTGCACATCTTAAAATTTTATTTGTTACAAATGTAAATGGTCACGAATTAATCATTTTTCTACTCATTGCATTTATAACCTGATTGTCAATACAATCAAGAGTCGTTTCAAATGCCATTCATCCATTAAAACTAAAACTACAATTGAGGAGTTTAATTCGTATAACATCATAACAAAATAAAAGCTATACAAATCTAATTGATCATACACATGATCTAACCATACAAAGCTATAAATAAAAGCTATACAAATCTAATTGATTATATAACATGATCTAACCATACAAAAGATATTATAAGTTTTAGATTACAGAGCTTCTTATAAAAAAAAAGTTCTGGATTAAACTTATACAAAATATGTTGAGTAGTTGCTATCCTTCCTCCCTCGAAATAAGATTCACAGTCCACCAACTACATGTTCTGCAACTTCAGCTTATCTCTACAGTGCCTGTAATATATATACCTTGTCAAAGTGGGTGGTTCATTTTGCCAACATCTGCACAAAGTGAAGATACGTAAGAAAGTCAGGGAATTCTTTGAAATTCATCAATAATATGTGTCAAATTGTTGAGCATTGAAAACAATTATTTTACCTCTTGAATAGGTGGACGAACTCAAGAGTTAGCACTTTCTGGGTTCTTGTACAGCTCCAGTCAAATACGCTGCATCTAGGAGCAGGTATACCTCTGTGTAAATGTACCAGATAAAAAAAAATCAAAAGAAAAGGACTAGCATCAATAGAGGATTATCTAACCAAGTTCAATTAGAAGAACGAATATCTAATTCCGTCAAAACTGAAAACCCCTAATTTGTTCGATTTCAAACACTAAAAACACCTTAAATCCAATTAGAAAACTGAAATACATTATACCTATTCAACTGGGTAGAGGTTGTCTTCAGAGTTTCCTCGGGCTCAATGGCTGGGCACGCAGAGGTTTAAAGCATGGTCCATGAAACCGTACCGTACCGGTGGTTCAACCACGAAATACCAGTATCGGAGGTTAAACCAGTAGGCGGTATTTAACGGTACAACGGTTGAACTACGGTTAAAACACGGTTTTACCATAAAATACCTTATCGCTGACTTTCCCGATACGGTCTCCGGTACGGTTTCATGGACCATGGTTTAAAGCAGAGGGCGGAGGGTCTTGTCTCGGTCTCGACGGCTGACGGACAAAGATCCGAAGCAGAGAGTGGTGGCGGCCTTTTGTCGGAAGCAGAGACCAGCAGGGCGGCAGATGTTGGGGAGAAAGGATGGGAAAGGGTTAGGTTCTTCTCGTCGGAAGCAGAGACGAGCAAGGCGGTGGGTTTCTTGGTAGGGCCAGTGGCTCGAACAGAGAGGAGTTCGCCGTCTGGAGGTGGGTTTCGTTGTTTTGGGAAGATGAGGTTGGATTTCGATGGATGGGAGCAAAGACGGGGGGTTAGATGTTAGGGTTTAGGTTAATTAAGGGTGAAGAGGGTGGATTTTGCACTTGCAGCAGGCCCAAAATTTTGAGAACGGAAAAGGGGCGGCAAAAATTATTGGAGGCAAATGTTGGAGCCAATTCTACAAAAAGAAGTGAAAATTTTGGAGCCCTCTGGAGCCAAAGTGAATTCGAAACAAAGTGAATTCTCCCTCCAAGAATTTTAATAAATTGTTGTTAAAGAAATTGCTAATTGCTAAATTGTTATTATATTTAAGCAATAGATATGACCTAGAAATAAAATATTTAAGCAATAGATTTAGCAACCAAAAAATTAATTGTGATTATGTGTTATGAATAATAGAGCAAATACAACATATAATTGATTTGAGTTGCATAAACTACTTCAAAATGTGTTATGAATAAACCATGAATGACACAAAATATCCAACATAAAGTATAACCATGAATAAACCCTACACCCTAACCCTATAGTTAT